CTTAACTTCAACTTTTCTAAAATATGGAGTGTAAATAAAAGGTATAAAACTAAATTAATTTAATAGTTTAAAAAATATTAGCTTTTCATTATTTAAGTCATAAATTTACTTTATGTAATCCAGTTAAATTTTCTATTCAATAAATACATATTTACATATATCTTATTATTATTATTATTATTATTATTATTATTATTAAATCAATTTAATAAACATTTTAAGGCAAACCTCGGTAGAGCCCTAAACCACATGAAATCTTTGACTGCACGTGACTCTGCTTCCTCCTTCCTCCACTAGAGACCTCTGGCTTCTGTCTCCTACTGCACGAGCTAAGGTCCTCTACAGAGCCGCAAGGTCTCCAACTCCTTCAATTGCAGCTCGACACCGATGCAGCCTCGACGACATTGCCACCTTCTTCTTCCTCTAGACGCAAGCCTCGTTTCTTTTATATACATGGAAGCTCTCTTTTTCCCTTTCTTCACCACAGACAAGTCGCTCAACTCAACATAAGTCGTTCAACTATTTATAGGTCGTACTTCAACTCCTTAGCTTCTCAACACTCCTAGCTTCATCTTTCCCCTCTTCGGTTGTCCGACCTCACTTTTTCTCACCTTCTTCAGTTCTCGACTGCTCGCCTCATCTCCCCTCACTTCAGTTCCTCTCCTAAAAGTGTGTATTTTGCATTAAACATAAAAAAGATTACAAAAAGGTTCAAAAAAACAAGTTCTCAGACTTCTACATAAATAAAACCATCATAAAGTGCATCATGAGTATGAGGATGCATACAAGCTAGCCAAAAACAGTTTTGGGCATAAGCAATGAACACTGTTGTTTATCTGATAAATCGTGATCTGTCGGTACTTTTAAATAAAGGCTTGCCCGAAGAAACTATGAGTGACCAAAAGGTAAATTTATATCATCTGAAAGTATTTGGTTGTTTAGAATATGTTCAAGTTGAGGTAGGATGCAAAAGTGAACTTAACTCACAATTTGTCAAGTAAGCTTTCATTAGATATGACTTGGATAAATTTAAATACAAATTATGGGATCATCAGAATCAGAAGTTCATTAGAAGCATGAATATGATATTCAATGAAATGGAGATGTAAAAGTATAGAAACATAACACAGGATTGTCTGTCAGCTACTTTTGAAGAGTAATCCAAATATGTTGAGATAGAAAGGAGCAGTGATTGGGAAGATGGAGAAATGAGATGTGCTCCATCTAATGAAGCATAAGAAGTTCCTCAAACAGAGGGTCTAGCAAATTGACATGATCAATACAGAGGTATTCTCCTTCATTATATTATATTTTGCTAACTAATAATGGTAAACCAGAGTGCTTCATAGAGGTCATTCAAGTTAAAGATTCAAAGGAAAAGGAGTTTGCCCAGGATTATGAGATGTAGTCATTGAAGTCAAATCATACTTAGGATTTGACAAAATTATTAGATAACAAAGGGCACTGCATAACAAGTGGAGCTACAGGCTGAAAAAAAAGTCAGATGGTAGCAAGCATTGCAAAGTAAAACATATTGTAAAGGGGTTCGGCAAAATGGAGTATACTACAAATATTTTCTCCTACAGTGAGTTATGCTAAACTTGGTAGAAGAGGAAGATCTACATCTAGAGCATATCGATGTAAAGAAAGTCTTCTTACATGGTGATAAAGAAGAAGAACTGCAAATGGAGCAACTGCAAGATTATGAGGTTCCAGCGAAAGAAGATTTGACATGTAGGTTTAAGAGCGTTTATGGTTTGAAACAAGCATCAAAATAGTGATACAAGAGATTTGACAAATTCATGGCAAATAGTGGGTACATAAAGTGCCAAGCGGACCATTGTTCATTAAAAATGTTGTAATTGCTATATCTTATTTTTAAAATTTTGGATGGCATGCTAATTGTAGGAATAAATATGAAAAATATCAGGGATTTGATGGAGCAATTATCAAAGGAGTTTGAGATGAATGATTTAAATCCAACCAAAAAGATTCTTAGGATGAAACTCAACAGAGACATCAATGCAGGTATAGTGAAGTTGGCTCAGGCAGAGTGTGTTGAGAATGTCCTACACTAGTTCAACATGAGTAAAACAAAACCAGATTACACCCCCTTAGGTAGTCACTTTAAGCTATCTAAAAAACTATTGCCCAAGTCAAAAATAGAGCAAGCAAAGATGGGAGAACCCTCCTATACTTCAGTTGTTGGGAGTTTGATGATGTGATGTTATGCAGAAGACTAGATATTGCACTTACAGTGAAAGATGTTAGTAGATACTTGGGTAATCCAAGTAAATATCATTGGGAGGTAATGAAGTGGATTATCAGATACTTGAGAGCAATAATCAACAAAACACTTTGTTATGGAAGTACAAAAATTGATCTACAGGGATACAAAGATTTAGATCTAGTAGGGGATGTAAATGGTAGAATAAATCCAACAGAGTATATCTTAATTTTGAAGAACACAACAGTGAGTTGGGTTTTCCGGCTGCAAAGGATTGTTGCAATTTCAACTATAAAAACTGAATACAATATTATCATTAAGACTAGCAATAAGATTTGGTTGTAGGGCTTTATGATAGAACTAGGAAATAAGCAAGGAATTAGAAAACTACATAGTGACAGTATAAGTGGTATTCATCTAGTTAAAAATGTCATTTTCCATGTAGGGACATCAAATTTAGTTAAGGTGTCACTTTATTTGTTCTCTTTTAAAAAGATGAGTATTTATTCTTAGAGAAGATACGCACAGCTCAAAATCCTGAATATATGTTGACTAGGGTGATGACTATTGAGAAACTGAAGTTATGTTTGGCTTTATTAGAAGTTCAAGAAGGTTGAGATCGGAGGCGAGCCACACTACAAGGCTATTACGATAGTACAAAGATAGAGGTGCAGATATGGAGGAAAGAACTGTGCAGGCAGTCTCCAAATGGGAGATTGTTATTGGGTGTGGAGCTAGATAGCATAGCAGTAGCAGCACCCAGTGCCCATAGGGGAGCCCCCGCGACCAATAGTGGTGCCCCAATGTCAATAAGGGTGCTCGACACCTAGTGAACCGAGCAATGGGAAAGCCACCGCCTTGAATGGGCGCAGCTGTGCTACAGAATGGTTGTTTCCACGTTCAAAAACAAAGCTTTTGAAAACTAAGCACTTGAGACCATGGATCTACAGAAGAACAATTCCAAATAGTGTATGAAAGGCAGCGCCCAGGATTGGTGCACCAGCACCACCGATCTGAATTTAAGTCATCGACTTCTATGTGGAAGGCATCTCTCAGCAGTGTGTGTAATAAGAGCTAGACAAAGCGAGTGACGCAGGGAGTTATGCATTAGATTTTTGCTTTTTTGCTCTTTGTGAGATCAAGAGAGGAGCGTTTGTATGTTCCATGCTTGTAAAGAGGAACTCTGAGTGTGGAGTAATATGTACATTTCTCCTCATTTAGTTGTGGAATGTTTTGTGTGGTGTGGCTCCGTAGTTTTTTTTTTCCATTCTCAGGTTTTTCCAAGTTAAATCTTATATGCTTTTTAGGATTTATTGTGTTTTGCACTTTATTTTTTTTCTTTGTTTCGGATCTCTCAGATCAGTGTGTTTTTCATGGTGTAATTTGGTTGTGAATCGATCGAATCTGGTTTCTCTGTCCGAACATTAGCTATATCTATACTCATAACATATTAAGTGATACAGCATCCTCTAGGGAAATATGATATTATATGTAAAGTTTAGTGCCCTAATCAATCAAGAAAAAAGAAATCTAGTTGCTCTAACTTTTGGAACAATTCTTGTCTTTAGGTGTTCATTGTCAATTTTCATCCTAATGGTTTGTTTGATCAGTGCAAAAGGTTCAGATTGATTAATGAGAAAGACTATTTTGGCCCATTATCTAAGCTTAAAATCATCAGGACTAGTCTATTTAAAATCATCAATCAAGGTTGATATCTTTTCCAAAAGGATCCGGTAATGACTTCTTTCCAAGCAGTCTTAACGAGGGATTTTATATGGACCCATCTGAATATGTTGTCAAGAGGTAGAACCGCAGATGTCATCCACGAGCTGAGACAACATGCTTAGTTCGAAAATTTTTTGCAAAGTTTTTGTCAAGAGCTCTTTTAATGGATTGTTTAAGTTACTCAGCCTATGGTTATTACCGTGCAAACACATGTCCATCCGCATTACTCATAAAATGAAGGTTGATTGTCAAATAATTGAGGATGCAGTATTTTCAAGGAAAATTATCATCTCATGCCTCCAGTTTAAGTAACAGCTATTAGTACAAAGTTTCTCTTAATTATATAACAAGCTAGAGCAAGCATATATATGTGTATATATATAGAGAGAGAGAGTGGGAGTTTTAATACAGGAAAATATAAAATTTTATAATGTTTCTATTTCAGGTGTGTTGCCTATGTTCACTAGGTTGTATCTTAGTATATTGTAATTACTCCTTGATTATAAATTAAAAATTTCTACAGTGAAAAAAGAAATCGATTTCCACCCTACAAAAAAAGAATGTCCAGTCTACCGAAAACAGGAAGTCAGAATATGGTACCATATTAGGAATCTAAAAGATATCGTGATAGAAATTGATTTGACTTATCCGAATCTATCATTTGTACCCATAGCTTGAACTGCTCGACAAAGAAATGAGTGATTAGTTCCAATGGTCCCGTTATGCATCCTAGCTACAGAACTTGGGCAAGTTATCTGGGTTACGGATCATTCATTGTTAATGACATTCAAAAAGGTTTTAAAAATTAAGCTAAAAATTATAATAATTTTTACAATTACAGAAAAAAAATGAATAGAATGGATCAATTACCACAAAAGCATTTAATGGGATTTCCTTAGTTTCTTAATCATTTTATTTACCTAAAAGCTAAGAAGACAAAAAAAAAAGATAGACGCTTGACAAAATTCAAGCTAAAGTGTCAAACATACGGTAAAAATGAAGCTCAGGTAAATTTGTTTCCATGATCCGTGAAAATGAGAAATAGAACCTGGATGATCAAAGTTGTATTCATGAACTAGAGCCATTTCATCATCAGTCAGGTCATAATAAAAAGATTCCTGGATTGACAGAGGAGGTTAGAAATCAGCAAAAAATAAAAATGGGCAGCATTAGGTCTAGGATGTAAGAAGAACAGAACATGAAGTCAGAAAACTTAACAAAGATAGTTTATACACAGCTACTTATCATCTTGCAAAAAAAGCCAACTGCAAGGAGTAACTGGATAAAGTACTGATCAGATACAGAAACTGTAAAGGATACCATTGGATATTATTCTTGTACTTCGAGTTTTTACAAAACAAGAATCGAGCACCACATCTTCAACATTACTGGATAGGTGATGTCATTTGTTGTATGTCGTTAAATAATTGGCGGTGAAGATTGATGAGGTTTCTGAAAACATAAAAAAAGAGAGGAAAATGCTTTCTTCTTACTTTGATGCTTTACAAGGTACATCTACTTATACGAATACCACCTCCTAAATAAGGAAATTACCTAATTGCCTATATCTTAAATAAGGAAATTACCTAATTGCTTAAATCTTAAAAATGACATTATCTAATTGCTTATAGCTATTTCCAATTACATTACATAGTTAATTATGCAAAGATTTGTACAGCTACATAATAATCTATAAAAGGAAAAACATTAATGTTGTAAATCAAATTGGATTTTCAACACTCCCCCTCAAGTAAGCATGAAAATATCCTTTAGAGCCAACTTGCACACTAAACTGTCAAACTGTCTCTTGTGAAGACCTTTCGTTAGAATATCTGCAGCTTGGTTGTGGGAAGAAACGTACACCATGCAGATATCTACTTTGTCAATTTTTTTCTTTGATGACGTGTTTGTCTATCTCTATGTGCTTTGTTTGATCATGAAGGACAGGATTGTGGGTGATGGCGATTGCTAACTTATTACCACAGTATACCTTCATTGGTGGTGGACTATAAATTTTTAACTCCTTAAGAATTCTTCTAATCCATAGAACTTCACATAACCTGTGAGCCACAGATCTGAATTCATCTTCAACACTGCTTCTTGCCACGACACCTTGTTTCTTACTTCTCCAGGTTACTAAGTTTCTTCCTAGAAACGTACAGTACCTTGAGGTTGACCTTCTATCTATAATACTCGTAGCCCAATTTGTGTCTGCAAATGCTTCTATCTGTAAATGCTCATTTTTCTTGAACAATAGTCCTCTTCTAGGCATTTCTTTCAGATACCTAAGGATCCGATACACAGCCTCCAAGTGATGAGTGTTTGGAGAGTGCATAAACTGACTTATACTAACAGTGAACAGTGAAAGCTATATCAGGACGAGTGTGTGAAAGATAGATTAGCCTTCCCACCAGTCTCTGATATTGTTCTTTATTAACATTATCTATTTCATATGTCACTTGCAATTTTTTATTTGGTTCAATCGAAGTTTTAGCTGCTTTGCACCCAAGCCTTCCGGTTTCACTGAACAAGTCGAGTACATACTTCCGCAGATTAATAAAAACCCCCTCCTTTGATCTGGCAAATTCAATACCGAGAAAGTACTTTATCGGCCCCAGATTTTTAATCTCGAATTCTATGACCAATCTTTCTTTCAATGTCTAAATTTCCTTAGCAACATCTCCTGAAAGAATAATATTATCAACATAGCAATAAGTATAGCAAGTTTACTAGTTTTTGAATGTTAACATAGTATGATCAGCTTGACTCTGAGTATATTCATACTTTTCAATCACCTTTCCAAACTTCTCAAACCAGGCGTGAGGAGATGGCTTGAGCCCATACAAAGATTTATTAAATCTGCACACCTTGTCTTCTCCAAAGTTTTTCTAAAATCCTGGTGGATGATTCATGAATACCTCCTCCTCTAATTCACCGTTTAGAAAAGTATTTTTAACGTCGAGCTGATGTAAGGACCAATCATGGTTTGTTGTTATGGACAGTAGAACACAAATAGAATTTATCTTGGCTACCGGATCAAATGTCTCCTGATAGTCAATTCCTTGAGTATAGGTGAAGCATTTCGCTACCAGTCATGCTTTATATCTTTCGACACTCCCATCAGTTTTGACTTTAACAGTGAAGACCCATTTACACCCAACAGTAGACTTGTCACTTGGCAAAGTGACAACTTCTCAGGTTCCATTTTTCAACGGAGCATCCATCTCTTCCTTTACTGTTATTCTCCAATTTGAATTATTAAGTGTTTACTGTACTGTTTTAGGTTCAGACAAATTAGAAAATTTTGACAAAAAAACTTGATGTTTGTGTGAGATTGTTTTATAGGATAGATATTTTGTAATAGGATGTTTGGTAGTACAAGAACGTGTTCATTTTCTAAAGACTATAGAAAGATCCAGAGAGCTTCTATTGATTAAAAAATAAGGTCATAATTGGAAATTACCTGATTGGAAATTACCTGTAAATTACCTGTATTTCTTGAGGACCATCATTCGGTTCTTCAGATTGGGAGGGAACTAAAGATTCAATTTGAACATTTTTCCTTTTATAGTCTTTTCCTGAAATAAACCAGAGGTTCTTTATTCTGCAGTATTTCTCCCCCTATGTTAGGCAAGAGAACTTCTGGTGTCTTTTGACTAGGATTCTCCTGGTTTTTAGTACTTTTAACAACTATTTCAGATTCATTTTTATTAAGAACTTTAGATGTATTTGGTTTTAGAACAATTCTTGATAATGGATCAAAAAGTGTCAAAAATTATCTTCTTCATCTGTATTATACTCCCCCTGAAGTAGATTTTCGTGAAAGAAAATGAAAGAAGGAAATTTTTTCCATGAAAATCACATTCATACTAATGTAAGTTTTTTTGGTGACAGGGTTAAAACATTTGTAACCCCTTTTATTTGAAACATATACAAGAAAAATGCATTTTTCAAATTTTGGATCCAATTTGATCGAAATTTATTTGGAATATGAACAAAACATGTGCATCCAAATATTTTTAAGGGAATATTTGAAAACATTCGAAGAATTAAAAAATTGGCTGCAAACTTATTTAGAGGAGTTGTATATTGTAAAACTCGAATGGGCATTCAATTTATTAAATATGATGTTAAAATGGCATCTCCCCATAAATATTTAGGAACGTCTATTGAAACCATAATAGCCTGAGCAAACTCAAGTAAATGTCTATTTTTTCTTTCAGCAATTTCATTTTGTTGTGGAGTGTCACGACATGTGGATTGATATTGATGAATTATGTTGATGAATTATGCATTTGTTTATTAAAAACTCCACTAAACATTCATTAAAGTATTCAGTTTCATTGTTTGTTCTATAGATGCATATTTTTCTTTCAAATTGAGTTTCAATCATGTTGTAAAAATCTTGAAAGAGTTAATCTTGAAAGAGTTTTTCAACTTATCTTGAAAGAGTTTTTCAACTTCTGATTTCTTGCTTATAAGATAAACCCAACATATTATGGTGTTACAATCAATAAAAGTGACAAAACCCATTTTTCCAGATAATATTTTGATTTTTGAAGGTCCCCAAACCTCGCTATAGATTATGAAAAAAGGTTTTGAAGGATAGTATGGTTTTGGAACAAAATTTATGCGATGACTTTTTGTCAAATAACACGTTTCACAATAAAGGTACAATTAACACCCTTAAACATATGAGGAAATAGATGTCTTAAATAAGGAAAACTTAGATGGCCTAGTCTAAGATGTCATTCTATTATTTTTTCTAATGCAGGGTTCAAACTCATACTGATTTAAGCTTGAACCTTTTTATTACTTGGAATAGTGTCCACAGAGTAATAAAGTCCTCCTATCTCTTTATATCTCCTAATCATCATTCCCGACTTCGAGTCCTGAAAGACACAACAAGATTCACAAAAAGTTACACGGCAGTTAGAATCTTTTGAAAGTTTGCTGATGGATAGAAGGTTACATTTGAGTTTTGGAACATGGAGTACAGATTTAAGAACTATACTCTTGGACAGGTTAATGTTTCATTTTCCAGCAATAGAAGAGAAACTACTGTCCGCAATACGAACATTTTCATGGCCAAAACATGGGTTATATGAATAAAATAAATGGTGTAAATTTTTCATATGATCAGAAGCTCCAGAATTAATAATCCAAGGTTTTAATTTTCTACCTGCATGTACCAGCGAATAATTTGGAGTACCAGTAGCCGAATCGGGGTTTAGCAGATTCAGGAGTTAATCGATTTGCTCCTTGCTAAATGGGCTGATCTGATCAGCAGCAGTGTTTACGGTAAGTGGCTGGCGCTTGTTCCGTGGCTTCCAATCTGCAGGTTTCCCATGGAGATACCAGCAGGTTTCTCTAGTGTGTTGTGGTCTATTGCAGTGATCACACCACACCCGGGATTTCTGCTCATTCTTTTATGGATACAGAGCATTTCGCATGTTGATATAAACTTCGAAATTGAATGTCGAGGTCTCAGGTATGCTGGTAGGAGTGAATTTTTGTTGAGCATTACTCCTCTTCGAGTTTCTTCGAGCGGACTTCCGAGAAATCCTCATGGATTGAAGACAGGAGACTTCTCCTAATAATTCTACCCCTTACCTCGTCAAAATCCTCGTTAAAACCAGCAAGAAATTTAAAAATTTTATTTGCATCAACAATGATCTTATACCTACTAGCATCATCCGGACACTTCCACACTTGATCATTATACAAGTCTAGGTTTTGTCATATTCTCTTCAAAGAATTAAAATATTTTGTGACAGAATCATTACCTTGATGAATATCACCAAATTTTAGAGAAAGTTCATAAACTTGTGATTGGTTACCTATATTTGAATACATTTGGGTAACATTCTCCCAGAGTTATTTGATAGTAGAGCAACACATGTAGTTTGCGCTTATCTCATCTTCCATAGAGTTCACCAGCCAGGTCATTATCATGGAATTTTCTGCATCATTTATCATGGAATTTTCTGCATCCCAGGTTGTGTGGGATGGATCTGTAGTTGTTGGCTCACGGACTTCCCCTGTTAGGTAGCCTATCTTCCCTCTTCATCTAATGTACATCCTCACCGATTGTGACCAGCATAAAAAATTGTCACCA